GGAGGGTGTGTGTGATCAGTGGGTGGGGTGGAGGGACCACCACTCTGTGCTGAGCACCTCTGCCTAGACGCAGCCTCACTCACACTTCAGCTGGTCCCAACAGGACTTCCTTTAATATTTTTATTGATTTCAGAGAGGAAGGGAGAGGGAGTGAGAGACAGAAACATCAGTGTTGAGAATCATTGATCGGCTGCCTCCTGCATGCCCCCCCACTAGGGTTGATACCGCAACCTGGGCACGTGTCCTGACTGGGAATTGGACCGTGACCTCCTAGTTCATAGATCGACCCTCAACCACTGAGCCACGACGGCTGGGCCTAATAACATTTTTTATGACCCATGTGCTTTCACTTGTTCTTTCTCCCTCTTCTATAATTCAACTGTACAGAAGGTGAGGCTATGAGGGGTCAACTCTCCTAGCACAGTGCTCTTTCCTTTTACCATGCTGTCTCAAAGCAACATGACTTACTAATCACAGGAAGTCATTGGAATGTGCTCATTATTTATAGTGTCTATTCTGGGAAGATGAATAGTAAAATGACAGAAAAATCATGTAAATATGTTTTATTAACCCAAAATGTTTTAACTAACACTATCCCTTAAGGCACACATTTTCATGTAATTCAAATAGCTTTCTCATAATATCAGAGCAGAATAAGAAGAAAGTAATGGGTGAAAAAGAGTTACATAAAAAGAGATAACTCCTATTTAATAAGTAATGAGTTTAGGGGAGGTTTGGGAAAGGTCTATCTATTTTGCTATTTCACATCTCTTCTGTTATTTGCTATCAGGTTAGATGAAACTCAGGGGGCTCATTCATTGTTTTTTATTTTTTCCCCCTCTTTTACCTTAATTTTGCAGGTCGTACATTATCATTAAGGCTTGTAAATAAATTTGCTCCAGTGAGAACATGTTCTATGATTTTGTAAATGACAGATAACTCACTGATACAAACCCGTTCTTTTCCAGTGTTCTTTAAACTAAGAGCCAATCCTATCTAATAAAAGAGTAATATGCAAATTGACCATCACTCCAACACACAAGATGGCCACCCACATGTGGTCAAAGATTGCCGGCAGGGGAGGGCAGTTGGGAGGGACCAGGCCTGCAGGGGAGGGCAGTTGGGGGTGACAGAGCCAGCAGGAGATGGCTGTTGGGGGCTCGAACGAGCAGCCAGGGTTGAGAACTTTTGCTTTTAATGAATATATCTGTTTTAGGAAAACCTCTATTTTTATCCACTTCCTCCTTCTAAGATTTACATATTTTGAATTCAGTTATCTGGATCTCTGAACAGAGGTGGGAAATACCAGAAGTCTATATAATAAAAGCCCAGCGACCGTTACAGCTGACTGACCAAAACAACCAGTCACTATGATGTGCATGACCACCAGGCGGCAGATGCTCAATGCAGGAGCTGCCCCTGGTGGTTAGTGTGCTCCCACAGCGGGAGTGCCACTCAGCCAAAAGCTGGGCTCACAGCTGGTGAGCACAGTGGCGGTGGTGGGACCCTCTTCCACCTCCACAGCAGCACTAAAGCCAAGCAGTAAGGAGCAAGCAGGCAGGAGGTAAGGAGCGAGCAGGCAGGTGGTTAGAAGCAAGGGGTCCCAGATTGCAAGAGGGTGCAGGCCGGGCTGAGGGCCCCACCACCCGCATGAATTTCATGCATTAGGCCTCTGGTAGTATTATAAATAGAAAAAAATATAACTTTCCCTCTTAGCAGCTGATTTTGACATTTATTTCAGTTTAGAATTAATCATTCTTATTTCTTTGAGAAAGTATAATTGGCCACTTGTGCTTTTCAACTGGTATGACTGAAACTCTAACTATAGTACTTTATTTGAATTAAGGTCTATGTGCATATTTCTTTTACTGAATAGAACTTAAATTTATTGTACTAGATGCAAATGAGTTCTATAGCAAAAATAAAAATCTTACATCCTCAATTGTCATTTGTGAAGAGAAGAGACATCCTAATGCAGCTCTTCTGCAGTATTTTTGGCTTTTAACTGATTTGGCTAATAATTCTTTCCTACTTCTTGCATTAGGACTGCATTCCTCTGAGCACTTTGCTGTGGCTGTATACTGCTTAGGGACTAGAAATACTTAACTCCTATGTCCACACATATAACTCTTCTAGAATTTTATAGCCAGAAATGTGGATTCTAACCTGGCAGCTAGACACTAACTTAATTCTCATTTCCCTTCTGCAGTATATCTCAGTATCTACCTATCGCTATCTCTGACTTTATCTCTATCTCTGTCTCTATAGATAAATATAACATATTATATCCATTTGTATATATTCCTTTTTTGAATTTGAAGAGAAAATTATTTCTTTTGCTACTTGTCACAGATGAAGGCAACTCCCCAACTTGTCTCAAGCTACTGAAAGCTACTCGAGGGGGCATGCAGGAGGCAGCCGATCAGTGATTCTCTCATCATTGATGTTTTTATTTGTCTCTCCCTCTTCGCTCTGAAATCAATAAAAATATATTTTAAAAAATTAAAAATAAAACAGCTACTCTACTCAGTCTGGCATTCTAATTGGTCAGAGATCTGAGGTTCACCAGCCACATTTTTTTTTAGCCTCTAAGATTCAAAATTATTTCTCTGAGATTCAGTAGAGAAGAAAAGTAGCCATTTCCTTTGCTAGACAAACAGCACCATTCACCGAGTGCTATGGAGTTATGTTGTTAGTTTATTCATGGCCATTTTTCATGGAAAGTGATAAAATTAATGAACAGTTAAATTTTTGAGCTGGAGGGGCCTCAGTTATGTCAGTCATAGTTCACTTTGCACATAATTAATGGGAGTCCCATGGACATGATATAAAATGCTGAAGACCAATGGTCTAGTTAGGAGACCCAAAAGTATAGAACTTTCAGGATAAAGCAGTAAAGAAAAATATTAGAATATTTTATGTGTCTTTTTGCTTTCCATGTTTCAGCTCAAAAGACCAACTGCTGGTTTGCTCTTCTGCCTGCATGGAATTAACTTAGTATTTCTGCTGTGAGACGGCCACAGGCTGGAGCAGCCCTTAGTCTTTCCAGAGAATTATCACTTTCAAAAACTTGATTTTTTACGATTTTGATCGTTAAAAATATTTCTGAGAATAAAATGTCCAGGCCATTACACACACACACACACACACACACACACACACATACACACACACACACACACACACACCGGGTTATATAGGGGTTTTACTTTTGTAGGGCCTTCTGAGAGAGTTCAGTAACTAGAAGACAGAAGATTCCTCAGAGCTGAGTGGGGCCTTTGCATTTTTGTAACTGTGTTTGCAAAAGCCAGTAAGACTAGAAGGTTCCTTTCTCACATGAGCTGTCTTTACAGTGTCCCTAAGTCTTTAGTAAATTATGTTGAACTATTTCATAATTGTTCCGAATGGTCAAGTATCTGCAATGTCAAATAATTCCATGTAGTTACATAGCAGAAAATTTCTGGGGTCATAAGTAAAAAAACCAAATCTTAAATAGATGATACTTAAGAGCCTTTCCATGTGATGTAGGAAATGATTAAGCACTTTGTATATGGGAAGAAGGGAAAATAAGCAAAATGGATGAGGTTATACCAAGCATTTACTTAAGTGATTACTGGACTGACCCTTTTCTGATATGCAGAGCTTTAAGTTAGAACATCTTTTTCCACCACACAATACATTTTATAAAGTCACCTTATATACAGCCACTCCCTACTCTCCCTACTCATACAGTTGAGCGGGAAGAGTAGAGAGATATAACCATGTGTCTCACAGATTCAAATAGTAACAAGTTTACTGTTGAGAAATTAAATATGGACCATCTAAAGATCTCCCTCTTCTAAAGTCACATACATATCCTATTTGGGTACTTCATTTCTCTTATGTATAAATTGATAACTATGCATAGATTATGTATCAATTTTTATACATTACTGAACAAAATCATTCATGGAACAAAAGTGTGCAGAACAGCTACCATGTGTTGGGTACTAGGATATAGGATTCTATCAGACTGAATTGGTTTCTGACCTATCTCTCAACCCAAAACAATAAAGGAAAATAAGGAATCTAAGGAGTTATTTAATTCAATGACTTGAATCATTTAATTCAAGTCAGTAAACTGAATAACAGGGTTACATATTTGTTTCAATGTTGGCATTTTAACGCATTGCTTTTTGTCTGTCTTACCTGAAGGATCTTATCGCCTGGCTGCAGCAGGTTGGATGCTGGCCCATCAGGCTGAACCCTAGTAACAAAGATACCCTATAAGTCAGAAGTAACAGAGGTTAGGATTCTATGATCAAGAACTAGGTCTACTCAAAAAACTTCTCATTCATATAAGATACAGTGAAAAAAAGATTAAAAACCATTTATACATGTAAACTTCAAAGATTATTATAGTATTTTAAATAAGGCACCACTCTCCAAGTCAACTTTAGGAAAACAACATCTTTACTTGCATAAAAAAAGTTCATTTTGTCTTTAAAGTGTACTTATGATTTATAAATTTATTTCATTGCACATTCTTAATTTCTTTCTTAAATCATTTGAAATATGGTACTGTCTTTTGTACAGCTTCTGAAATTGTCTTGAGTAATTCTGCACTGAAAATGTCTCCCACTTGATATACTGTAAATTCAATTTGCACTTTAAAAACCTTACTACAATTACATGTAAGTACTGGCCTATCTTAATGAATGTTACTTTGTATGTTATTGAGATTAGCAAATACGAAATGCATATGAACAAATTAAACATAAGAAAACTTCAACATGCATATAAAATATAAAGTGTATTTTACATAGTTACAAAACTTCTATATTGATTAATTTACTTTATAAAAGAGTCAAATTAAAATTAAAAATTTTTTATTGATGAAAGTATTACATATGTCTCCCCCTTTTCCACCATTTACCCCTTCTAGCCTGCCCCTGTTCACCACACTATTGTTTGTGTCCATGGGTTATCGAATTAAATTTTTTAATTTAAATTTAATTTAAATTTTAAATTTTTTGATCATATATATAAAACTAAAACATCCACATGCTCGGCCTTGACTGATCGCTAGTGTTATAGAGATATACAGAATATAGTCTTCCATGAGCTCACAATATAATGGAGGAAAAGTCAAGAAAACCACCAATTACAAAAGAGTGCAAGTGTTATGAGAGAAGTATAATAAATTTTCAAAGACGTTGCACATAGCTTATCCTTAGTGTGTTGGGGCTTCTGAAAAGAGGACATACCTGGCAGCTGAATCATGGAGGACAAATAAAATGCATCCACAAGGATAAGGGGAGGAAGGGTATTCCAGATTGCAGGGATACCACAAAGGATAAAGTGCCTGTTACATTCAAGAAACTGTAAGTAGTTCTATTATGACTGGCGTGGTGGTGGAAGGGTGCCAGTGCAGGGGGTTGGGAGCCTGGGAGAGAATCAAGCTACAAAACACACTGGGGACAGATGAAGATGGACCTTTAATAGATATGCTAATTAGTGTGGGGTGCTACTGAAGTATTTTAAGTATGATAGTGACAAGATCTGAAGAATGAACTGATGAATGGATAAACCAAAGGTGTACATCAAGCATGTCAAACTTGCGACCCACAACAAATATTTTTCAGCCGATTGCCATGTCATTAGTCTTGGACTGACTTGTTTGGTGGAAATATTTCACTTTCGGAGAACAAGAAAAATAGGTTTACTTGTGTGACACTTATTAATTTGTGCAGTTATTCAGTGTCTGGTAAGTTAATGTTCAAGAAAAATATTAATTTTTATTAAAATGTTCTATTATTTTATGTTAGCAATTACTCATTTATTTCAGCCCTTTGTATTCAGCATGTCTCTATCGAAATAAACCCACGTTTCTATGAAAATTGAAGCTTTTCTTGTTTGGCGGCCCACATAAACTTCAACCTTGTTTATTTGGCCCGTGTTAGCTTTTGAGTTTGACATACTTGCTATACACCTATTCAGTGGAATATTATTTGTCAGTAGAAAGGAAGGATGTTCTGGCAATATGGATGAACCTTGGAAACATTTGCTAAGTGAAATAAGCTGGTCACCAAAGGCCATACATATATTATATGATTCCACTTATATGAGATGTCAAGAATAGGCAAATGCATAGAAAAGGAAAGCAGATTTGGGTTTTCCAAAGGCTGGGAGCAGGGGCCTTGGGAGTGACAAGGTGTACAGAGTTTTTATTGAGTAATACAAAAGTTCTGAAATCAGGTAGTGGTAATGGTTGTACAATTCTTTGAATATGCTAAAAACCACTTAATTGTATATTTCAAAAGGATGAATTTTATAGCATGTGAATTAGACCTCAATATAACTGTTATTGTTTTTTTTAATTCTTGAGAACTATTAATCAAATAGAAAACAATCTTTTAATATCTTTGCCTATTATTAAGAAAATCATCTCATTTGCTGATCTGTAAACCTAATGACTCTCACTTAAACCCATTGCAGTTGAGTATGTGTGTATGTAAATGATTTAACAAACAGACCCTAATTAAAATGCTTCTACATGTGTCTTCATTTAGGATTTCAGATCTTTAGGAAACGTACTCATGTATGGCTTTTGAATGATTTTTATCTTTCTGATTTTATTCTCTTTTCCTTCATATTTCTATATATATAAAAGACTAAGTGACCATTACACTGGAATGACTGGAATAACCAGTCGCTATGAGGTGTACTGACCACCAGGGGGCAGACACTCAACGTAGGCACTGCCCCCAGCACATAGGCCCCAATTGCTGATGGGGTCTGCCGGCCAACATCGGTCCCTCCTCCTGGCCAGCAGGCCCTGATCACCTGATCAGGCCCAGGCCCCCAGGCTGGGAAGAGGAACCAGGGGTGGGTGGTGGTGGATGTGGGTGGTGAGGAAAGGAGGAGGCGGGGAGGCGGGGAGGCAGGGAACCTGATCGGCCCTGATCACAGGCCAGGCCTAGGGACCCCACCTGTATACGTATTTCATACACCGGGCCTCTAGTCTAAGATGAAACTACAGATTGGCTTCAAAATCCCTAGAAAACAACATAACTTTAAATCTATTAATTCAACTTCTAGAACTTATCTTAAGGAAATAATTGAACAAATATGCAACATACATTTATGATATGTTCATCATAGTAGTATTTGTAACAATAAAATTACAAACCACACCTAAATGTCTAATAACAGGGGATTGATTAAATAAGTTATGATAAATCCATATCTACACTAATAAAAGAGAAAGATGCAAATTAACCATCACTCCGTCACTCCACTACACCCACAAGCCACACCCACCAGCCAATCAGGAGCAAGTATGCAAATTAACCCAACTAAGATGGTGGCAGCCACAGAGGTGGAGTGAGTAGGAGGCTTGGTTTGTCCCTGGCAATGGAGGAAGAGAAGCTTCCCACCTGTCCTGGCCTGCCCTGGGCTCTGCTCAAGGCTACAAAGTTTCAATTATAGAAGATAAATAAATCCCATAAAAAAAAAGAGAGAAAAAGGAGAAGCTGGGAGCAGCCTGAAAACGGCCTTCAGCTCCTCACCCTGGCTGGCCACACCCCCATGGGTTGAGGGTCCCCGCTGGGGGGCTTGGCCAATCAGAAAAAAGCCTCAGCCCCTAACCCAGGCTGGCCAGGCACCCCAGCGGGACCCCCACCCTGATCTGGGACACCCTTCAGGGCAAACCAGCTGGCCCCCACCCATGCACCAGGCCTCTATCCCGGGCTGCCAGAGGGATGTCTGACTTCCAGCTAAGGCCCACTCCCTAAGGGATCAGGCCTAACCCAGCAGGTGGACATCCCCCAAGGGGGTCTCAGACTGCAAGAGGGCACAGGCTGGGCTGAGACCCCTCCCCCCCTGAGTGCACAAATTTTGTGCACCAGGCCTCTAGTAATATAATAATATGTGGTCATTAAAAAATGAAGCCTAGATGGCAGGAACAGAAATACACTAGTGCTCAGTGAAACAAGCAGTATAAATCACTATATGGGGGATGAAACTACAGGGTGGGGCAGAAGAAGTTTACAGTTGTGAGTACATGACAGTTTATCCTTTATTGTTTTGCATACAAACAACTGTAAACCTATCTTTGCCCCACCCTGTATGTTGGCTGAAATATGTTTACATGTATTTTTGTGTGGGAAAATATCTGCAAAGGTAGACTCTTTTTTTTTGTTTTAAATATATTTTATTGATTTTCTACAGAGAGGAAGGGAGAGAGATAGAGAGTTAGAAACATCGATGAGAGAGAAACATCGATCAGCCGCCTCCTGCACACCCCCCACTGGGGATGTGCCCGCAACTAAGGTACATGCCCATGACAGGAATCAAACCTGGGACCCTTCAGTCAGCAGGCTGACGCTCTATCCACTGAGCTAAACTGGTTTCGGCCAAAGGTAGACTCTTAAACATTAATAGTGGCTGTAGTGGGAGACATCTTTGGGGGTGGGGATTTTTTTCTGCCTGCCACATATTATAAGAAGCAGATGAGAGCATAATTCTGCAGTCAGACTGTCTGTGTTCATCATTTATAAATGGGTGACCTTCGGCAAGTTAATTAACTTTTGTGTACCCCCCCCATCACTAAAATGGGTATAATAATGGTATGTCTCACTCATTAGATTAAGTGAGTGAATATACACAAAATACTTAGAACAGTGGATGGCACTTAAGGTAGGGTCAATAAATATTATTATAATATTGGGAGTCTGGAGTTTGAACTATAATCCAAGGTCTTTTATCCAGCGGAGCCCACATTGAGAGTGCATGAGTCTCCAGCTATGCCATGTTTATTGCCAGGAAATTTCTCTTTGCTCCCCAGCTGGAGAACATTGAAAGCCCCATGTCTGTTATTGTCCCCTTGCACTAGCCACAGGTAAGAGGATTTGCACCTCTGATTTAGGAAAGGGGGTGTGAAGAGGGTGATAAGTTCCTCCTCTCCTAGCTCATCTGTGGTTTTCTAGTGGTGACTCTCAGAGGTAGTGACTCCAACTATTGTTCATGCTCAGTAGTGGACATGGGTCCCAACTGGAGGGCTTTCTGCAGGTTCCTGGTAATTTTCAGGGCTACCTCCTTCAGTAGCTCCAAGTCAGGAGCATCAGCTCTTTTGTTTTTCTTTCTTCTTTTTAATATATTTTTATTGATTTAAGAGAGGAAGGAAGATGGAGAGAAAGACAAACATCATTGATTAGCTGCCTCCTGCTGCCACCTACTGGCAATCGAGCCTGCAACCAGACTATGTGCTCTGACCTGGAATT